CCCCAAAACCCCAAAACCCCAAAACCCCAAAACCCCAAAACCCCTAATATTCATAAATCAATTGGAAATATATAATTTTTATTATGTGGGCTGAAGATAACAGTATGTCTACTGCGACCAATATTCCTAACTATTTCAAGTCAAAAACAGTCCAAGAGAAAGTGGACAATTATCGAAAGATTATAAGACTTAATAATAATGACCGGAGCTATAACCTCCCTCCTTCATATAACCGAGATTCGGTAGGTTACATCCTTTACTTTGTAGGACTACTTAAGAAAGGAAAAAGCGTCTAATGCTTTCAGATTGAAGCAATAAAAATAGAACAACTCAGAAAGGACATGAATAATGGGGTATTTTTTATGCATAAATTCTAATAGCGTCAGCTCCAAAGCTCTCCAAATCTAGAGGTGCCTTATAATACAGAGAAAGACATGAAACCTAATAGTATTTCAAGAGATCTTGCCATGAAACGAAAAGGTAACACTTCTTGGGCTCAGTCAATTTTTGGAAATACTCAATATTCTACTTGAACAATAGGAAATTTACTGCGGAATATGTATTTTTAAACCCTAGTAAATTTATTCAAATTCACCTGTCCAAATACTTTTAAGGAGAATCCTCCTAATACGGATTATAATTCCTCATGAGCTACTGCTTCCTAAATCTGCCACTATTGGTACCTGTTCATTCTAGATGTAACAAATTTATGGAAAATGAGTAACCTTCTAAAAAATTTAAAGAACTGAAATTGGAAAAATTAGATTGTAGAACAAAAAATTGGAAACTTTTAATAGAAAATAGAGTTTAGGTAGAAAATTTAGTGAATTTTGGAAATTTTTAGGCGAAGATTGGGAAATTGTAAAATTTTTGGAAATATTTTGGGAAATAGCCGTTTTTAAGGAAATTTAGTAATTTTTGAGTGGAGTTGGTGGCTTTTGGAGTGAAGAGATGTTAATTGGGGGTTAGTATATAGCAATCCTCTTTCGCGCCATATGAGATCGAAATCTGATGTGAACATGAGGGTTAAGAGACCACAGCAGGCTGAGCTGCGCAGGAGCCAAATTCCTCAGGTAAAGAAGGCTTATAACTTCTCCCCCTCTGCTAAAAAGAGCATGACTCCCAGTGCCAAGGTTTTGCACAACAATCAATCTGGAGGATTTAGTTATGATAATTTTTATGACTCTCTTAAAGAGCTCAATGAGGAGAATAATGGCCGATCTGTAAATGGCGACTATTAACATTTAGAATCTGATCAACCTAAGAAGCAGTACAATTACACAAAACTCATCTCCAAAAATAAGTCAGAAATCGCCCAAGCATGTGAAGCCTCCGCTGAACCCAGCTATTAAGAAAAATATTACCCCTGTTCTGACTCTGAAGGAGAATAAAGTGATCCCAAGCTATTTCAAACCGAAAGATTTTGATAAAGACCTTACTCCTGGGTTTAACCCGGTAACAAAATCAAAGAGCACTGTTGGAGTCAGCCCAAATAAGCCTGCTAGGAACTTGAGCCAATCAGTCTTAATGGGCCTTATGACTAAGGTGTGAAATTTACAATAACATCTAGAGTTTTAGTAAACCAAAAGAAAGGAATGATACTATCAAAAAGAGCGATGTCCGTATGAGCGCTGATAATCTAATCAAATTCAACCTCAACCCTTTCAGAGCTAATGAGAATAAAATAGAGGAGGAAAAGGTTGCTCCGACTCAGAAGAGAAAGGAAAAGTTCAGGAATGGTCCTACTATTAGCTTTAAGGACTCCTCAATAAAAAATCCTGAAACCATAAAAGAAAATGAGGCACCTAAAGTTCCAATAAAAAGTCCAGACCGGACTTTTAAATTAGCTCAGAAGATTTTCTCAAGGAAGGTGATCCGTAAGGACAAGCTCAAAAAGCACCTAGACACTAAAAAGGTATCTCCTTTAACTACAAATTCTAGCTCGCTGATTTCAAGGAATGAATCACGACTTTTAAAACCAGATGCTCCAAAACACCGATGGCCCCTATCAAAAAGAAGGGATTTCGTCACAAGAAATACACTGAAGCTTACTTACAAAACTGCTTAACTCACCTTAAGGTGATTAAGGCTCTGTGTGTAGCTCTGGAAACAGATAAACATAAGACTTTTGGTCCATTATAGTATTCAATAACCTCATTAAAATTCGGGGTTTTGGGGTTTTGGGGTTTTGGGGTTTTGGGG